ACTACTATGTATGCGTGGTCGATGATGATAATGATGATGATAATGATGATGATAATGATGATAATGATGACGGGGACGTTTCTTAATAGAAATTTTTCATATTTCGACTTTGCATTTATATATCTCTGCTTACAAATCACGTAGAGCAGAAATAAAGACACTTTTATTATATAATTCGAACTCAATCTATCGATTAAGTCTAGTATAAACTCGATTGCTTCAGCCATTATTGAGGATTCGAAATATTATAAAGACTCAAATGTCCGACTCGCGTTAAGATACACGGTGTCTCCGCTACGCCCTTAACTGGTCGCGAGACACTACCGTGTCTCTTGATTACTCAATAATAATTTGTAAAAAATAATAATAATATCACGAAGAAAGTATTAGCACTGTATATATTAATTATTTTATTGACTTACTAACTAATTCCCCAGTTTCTTGTTCCATTTTAAGCTATACTGTAGCAAAACTGTGGCGAACTTGCTTTGTCTGTTTGTGCTTCAATATCATATGTAGCCACAGCTTATATATTTATATTATGTCGCGCACGCGTCCTGAAAAGTCTAATCGTTTTTAGCTCTTTAGAATTATTACATATACACACGAATACAAATACATTCCTTTGTGGAAATAAAAACACATAATCGAAATATTAAAACATATCTTTCAATTCAATGTCAAAAATTTGTACTTTATTTATAATTTTATCAGTATTCGTTATCTCATACATCGTGGTACAATTATAAATATCCAAAGAAGTAAATATATATGGTGAATATCAAATAAGAAAGAAATCAAAATTTATTGGTTCTGAATAATGTTGTAGCTTAGAAAAAAAAAATATAGATCAATTTAATAAAACTGATGTAACATATTATCGAAAATATGAAGTATAATTCGAAAATCTACAGCAATATTATAATAAAATTAAAATAAATTGAGATAATCACATATTTAAAAATAGTGAAAATATTTGCAACATTTTCACGAATTTTACGATAACACATTTAATATTTATAAAAATGTTGTAAGTCACATATATAATATTTATTCTATAATATATTTAATGTTAAATTTTGACAGAGAATTATTTTTTGGCGTTCAAATGTTTTTTTCAAATAATTTAATAGAAATAATTCAATGATTAACGTTTATGATAACATTTGAAAAAAGTAATTCAATGATTTGCAATTTTGATAAAAGTTTTATACATAAATGTATACGCGTATATACGTACATGTTCACATAAATATGTGTATTATACACATATTAGTATTTATATACATATGTATACATATATTTGATTGTGTTATTTTATCGATTTCCAAAGTTCTAACATAAATTAATCATAGAATATATCAAGCACATATAATGCGAATTAACTGAAATCGACAAAAAATTTACTTTAAACTTTAAAAACTTTATACATAAATGTATACGCGTATATACGTATTATAAATACATATATCATATAAATATATGCATTAGTATTTACATACATATGTATACATATATTTGATTGTGTTATTTCATCGGTTTAACATAAATTAATCATAGAATATATCGAGCTGATATAATGCAAAGTACCTGAAATCGACAAATAAATTGACTTAAAAATTATAAACTAAAATAGTAAGTACATATTCCACTAACTACAAATCTGTTATCAATCGCCATTTCAAAAAATATATCCGATTTGTGTACTTCTAAATTTAAAAGAAGCTAAAAAGAGTATCATTTAACAATTTTTTTAGTAAAACAGCGTAGAAGATCATTGCAAAATTTTAAGCAATTATTAATTATTTACATATATATATATAAATGTTCTGCAATGTATGGTCTGTAAAAGGCGCTTTATAAAAATCAACTCGTATCTTAATCACCAGTTGTAAATTTGCGAGCATTTTCATATATCTAAATTGAATTTAAATTAAAATATCAATTTTTTATTATTTAATATATTGTATTGTTGATTAACAAATAAAATAAGAAAAAAGTATAAGTTTTACAATATAAAGTCTACATTTTTAAATAAAAAAATGTTCTTACAAAAATTTAATAAGAAAAACCTAAATATTTCCAAATAATACGCTGTTAAGTTTTTCCAATAAAAAATTCTCGAACATCATATTTTTTAAATATTCAAAACTGGCAATTAAAAATGATGAATAAATTACAAATGTTGAAATTAATTAATGAATTATAACAATTAACATCGTTTGTAATTAAATAAATGTAAATGCAGAGTATAATGTCTTCAAATATTTTCGACACTTATTTTGCATGTCTATAAAAAAAGTTTTCACGATATCTAAGAAATTTAATTATAAACTCGAGATACGATAAAAATAAATATACGTATAACAAGAATCGAAAAAATAATAGTTTCGTAAATGTATTCTTACATATCTAATGTTTACTAACATATGTACACAGTCAAACTTTACTAAGTGTAACAAACTTCTGAAACAGTATGTTGATTATATTTTCAGCAATTAAAAAAACGAAAAATTCGAAATTGTAGTTGTTATTCGTGAAATTTAATAGAAATATTTAATATTTAACAACTTGGAAAAAATTATATTTTGCAATAATTTTAATATGTCTAAAATGATAGTATTTATTCAAATATACTTTCAGTCGTCAACAAAGTAAAAGTTATATCTTAATAATAATAAAAATATTTTTAAGTCAGCTCTTTAATTTTTAAACCACAATATTCCTCTCGACTAAAGAGCCAAACGCGATGTTATTGCGACAGATCGATTATATCAATAAGATTATATCTTAATGTTGAACTTATTTTTATCTATATTGCGTAACTATTTGCTAAAATACATTCTTCATACCGATAGACTTCGAAAAATATAATGTACGCAACTATATTTGAATCTAATTAATCGCGAAACTTGCTATATATAAGAATCACTATACATCGAAATATACTAAATTACCATAGAATAATATTTTTAAAATATATAATAATAACATGAAAAAAATATTACCATATTTGTGTATATCTTTATTACCTGTTCGTTAAATCGGATTAAATTATAATTAAACTCACCAATTTTCTTCCTTAGATTTTTCTGCTCCATTTTAGGCTATACAGTAACAAAACCTTGTCAAACTTGCTTCGGTTGCTTGTGTCTCGATATCATGTAAACGCTGCTTTTATATATTTATATTATTTGACGCACGCGTAAATTATCATTAAATTTATGCGCGAAAAATCAAATCGATTTTAACAAACCGAAATTATAACAAAATACACTCATTCTTAGATAGGTATACACACAAACGGACATTAAAACATATCATTTAATATTAATGCCAAATTTTGCAATTTATTTAAAATTATAGTATATAAACATTCGTTATCTCACACGTCGTGATACAAATATCCAAATAAATAAATAGCATCTATAGACATATATATATATATATATATATATATGTATATATATGGTGTATGTCAAATAAGAAAGAAGTCGAAATTTATTGGTCCTGAATAATGTTGTAGCTTAGAAATAAGAAAAGAATATAGATCAATTTAATATAACAGATGTAACATATTATCGAAAATATGAAGTATAAATCCAACATCTACAACAATATTATAATAAAAGTAAGATAAATTAAAAATATCACATGTTTAAAATTGATAAAGCAAATTTCGTAAGCTACATATTTGATATACATATATTCTATAATATAATTAATTAAATTTTGACAGAGAATTATTTTTTGGCGTTCAAATGTTGCTTTCACGAAATTTAAAAAAAATAATTCAATAATTAACATTTATGGTAAAGGTAAAAAAAAGTAATTCAATGATTTGCATTTCTATTAAAATTTTATACATAAATGTATACGCGTATATACGTATATATTCACATAAATATATGTATTAATATTTATATACATACGTATACATATATTTGAATGTGTTATTTTATCGGTTTCCAAAATTTTAACATAAATTAATCTTAGAATATATCAGGTAGATATAATGCGAATTAACAAAAATTGACATAAAATTTATTTTAAACTTTAAAAACCTTATACATAAATGTATAATGTTTATACATATATCATATAAATATATGCATTAGTATTTACATACATATGTATACATATATTTGATTGTGTTATTTTATCGGTTTAACATAAATTAATCATAAAATATATCGAGCTGATATAATGCAAAGTATCTGAAATCGACAAATAAATTCACTTAAAAATTATAAACAAAAATATGTACATTTTCCATCAACTACATATCTGTTACCAATCACCATTTCAAAAAATATATCCGATTTGTGTACTTCTAAATTTAAGAGAAGCTAAAAAAGATATTATTTGACAATTTTTTTAGTAAAACAGCATAACGGATCATTGCAAGATTTTAAGCAATTATTAATTATTTACATATATATATAAATGTTCTGCAATGAATGGTCTGTAAAGAGCGCTTTATAAAAATCAACTCGTATCTTAATCACCAGTTGTAAATTTGCGAGCATTTTCATATATCTTAATTGGTTTTAAATTAAAATATCTATTTTTTTATTATTTATTATATTGTATTGCTGATTAACAAATAAAATAAAAAAAAAGTATAAATTTAACAATATAGTGCAAATTTAGACAAAATAATAATAAATTTTTAGTATTTAATTTCAGACAAATTTAGATGTATATGAAATTACTTGTCAATTTGCAATTTCCACGGCAAAAAGATTCCTCATAAGCGATCTTCACAGTCTACATTTTTAAATAAATAAAATGTATATACGAAAATTTAATAACAATTGCCTAAATATTTCCAAATAATACGCTGTAAAGTTTTTCCAATAGAAAATTCTCGAAAATCATATTTTTTAACGCTTCAAAACTGGCTTCCCTTAAATTTGTTATCATAATTATGAAGACTTTCCAATAAACTCCTAAAATGAGCAGTTCGTTTGATAGGATTTGTATCCTGTCAACCCAATTCAAGAAACGGGCTTGTCAACTTTATTAAAGACGCCGATATAGAGAATATCTGCGTTCATTTTATCGTAAATTAACCAAAGAAATGGATAATTAATATTCACGTCGATTATAATGTCGTTCGAACAAGGTTCCTGTCCGCTGATCACGGTTACTGCAGCCGCCTTGACGTCCTCCTGCGTGACCTTGACACGAGCACGGTGCACGGCATTGCCGAAGTGCACGCTTTGATCGTCTTCCACGAAGATGTGGTCCAAAGGAATTGCGTCGGGCGTCAATAATTGCTCAACGCCTAATTCCCGCAACAGTGCACGCATATCCAGATACTTTTCAATTTCGAAGGTCGGCGGAATAACGATAGACAGTGGTTTATCTCTTTTGCACAAGACAGTAATTTCTGAAGTATATCCATTCCCTCGCTTGTTGACAATCTTTCAATCAAGCTAGAAAGGCCAGTGCTCATATCTGTTTTAACCGTGTTGTTTGTGCTTGTTGAAGAAGGTATCAACATATACAGCGACGTATAATGTTCCTTGATGATTAACTCCTTTACGTCCACCTGCAATTCATCACTGGAAACTAAAAAGAACATCCATATATTATTTTACATTTTAAAGAATTAGAAATTATTTGCGTAAACATATATCATGCCTTAGTTATAAAGAAGTGTAAAAAAAATAAATGGCAATATAATGCGATAAATAAATTAATTTATTCTTAACATATTTAAACACTTATTAACAATATTTATACTTAAAATCAATGCATAATTTTTATTTGGGCCTTTTATAAAGAAATAAGTAATAAGATGATGAATTATACTTTGTTTAAGATTAATTTTCATAATTTACTAAATTTTCTAAAATTTACCGACATGTAAAAAGCTATGTAAGATATTGCAAAAAATATATATACTCACATGTTTTAAAATTTAAATAAGAAGAAGTCGATTGAGAGACGATTAGATTTCGACCATGGAAATAAAATGCGTTTGCCAAAAAAATATCCATACCTTCTGTTTTTACTTTCAAGTTCACCAATTTACGAAAGAAACTCTTTAGCAGCAATTGCAAAGATTCATTGAGCTCTCTATTTGTATCCTGAATATTATTATTGCTTTTAAATCCGAATCCAGCATTGTACAGTCGTCTCATTGTTTTAAAGTCTTTACAAAGTTTTTTGTTTAAAAATATACATTGATTTTGAATTACATAATGATAAGGCATATAAGAGGTAGCATCCTAGAACATTAAAGAAATTGTTTAGGAGACCCGTATTTATTCTTAAATATAAAATTTGTATCACTTTCTTAAAATGTTTGTTTCACATGTTTATTTAAATAAACTAAATCCTTATATCATATTTTAAAATTGCATCAATTCACTTCATTCAAATTAGTCTACATAGAAAAGAGTCACAATTTAATATTTCGACATTTTTATTATAATATTTTTGACTAATATTATTATTGAAATGGGCGTCAAAACTATTTACCTTATAGCGAGCAGGCCGGTTTGCGGGGTATTTATCAAAATTAATAATTTTTAGCAACTCAAACTTCGAAACATTCGGTAAATAAAGAATATCTCTTAAACGCTGTTCCATTTCACCACTTGAAATCATATAAGCAGAGTAAAGTCCGTGATATATCTTATATGGACTAAAAACAAAATTTTCCTTTGGCTTGATCGACGCATATTTATGCAGACTTGTCACCGCAAACTTGAACATCGCGTCTGATATTACAGAATCTGACGAATAAAAAAAAATATAAAGAAAGACCAAAAGAAATTGATAGATGGGATATGTTAGAATTAACAATGATGATCAAATTACAAATGTTGTAATTAATAAATAAGTTATAACAATTTACAAAATTTGTAATTAAATAAATGAAAATACAGAGTACGTAACGTCTTCAAATCTTTTCGTCACTTTTTTGCATGTCTATAAACAGAAATTTTTAACATCTAAAAATTTAACATTAAATTCGTAATACGATAAAATAAAAAGTATGCGTACATAGAATGATAATCGAAAAAGAGTTAGTTTTGAGGGGTAAATGTATTCTTACATATTTTATGTTTACTAATATGTCCATAATTAAACTATACAAATTATATTAATTAACAAACTCGTTGAAAAGTTTGTTGATTATATTTCCAGAAATTAAAATATACACAAAATTCGAAATTGGTCAATAATTATAATTATTGACATTTATAAACATCAGACATTTATTCAAATATAAATTTAATCATCTGCGTAGTGAAAAAGTTGTACCTTAATATTGAATTTATTACGTGTATATTGTGTAATTTTGAAACCATTCGCTAAAATACGTTATTAATACCGAGGTATTTAGAAATTTGTAATGTTCGCGATTCTACTCAAATAAAAAAAATCGCGAGATTTGCTATATGTATATATGTTATCATTATCATATCAAGGGCACTTTGTGAAAATCAACTCGTATCGTAATCTCCGGAGTTATAAATTTGCGAGCATTCTCATATCTTTAAATCCCGTTTTAAATTCACAAACTAATTTTTTAATTACTTATGACATTGTATTGCCGATTATTTAATAAAATTTAAAAAAAGTATAAAATTGCCCATATGGTGCAGCTTAGAACAAAGTAATAATAAATTTTTATTATTTTAATTTCAGACAAAATTTGGATGTACCATATATGAAATTACTCGTCAATTTGCAATTTTGACGGGAAAAAATTTCTCAAAAGCGATCTTCACAGTCCACATGTTTAAATAAAATAAATGTATTTACGAAAATTTAATAACAATCGCCTAAGAATTTCCATATAATATTCGCTGTAAAGTTTTTCCAACAAAAATTCTCCAAAATCAATATACTCACCTATATCAAATTCAAGATCCAAAAAGTCAGACTTGATGCATCAGTCAATCCACTTGTTGATTGAGAGACGATTTGATTTTGACCTTTGAAATTATGTATTTTTGAAAGCTTCGAAACTGGCTTCCCTTAAATTTGTTATCATAAATATAAAGACTTTTAAATAAACTCTTAGAACGAGCAAATCATTTGATGGATTTAATTTGTACCTGTCAATTTCGTTTGAGAAACGTGCTTGTCGAATTCATTAAAAACGCCGAAATAAAGAATATCTGCGTACATTTTGTCGTAAATAAACCAAAGAAATGGATACTTGATATGCATGTCGGTTATAATATCGTTCGAACTGGGTTCCTGTCCGCTGATCACGGTTACTGCAGCCGCCTCGACGTCCTCTTGCGTGACCTTGACACGAGCACGGTGCACGGCATTGCCGAAGTGCGCGCTTTGATCGTCTTCCACGAAGATGTGGTCTAAAGGAATCGCGTCGGGCGTCAATAATTGCTCGACGCCTAGTTCCCGCAACAGAACTTGCATATCTAAATTTTTTTCAATTTTAAAGGTCGGCCAAGTAGCGGAAGGTAGTGATCCACGTGTTTCTACACAAAACAGCAATTTCCGAAGTATACGCATTCCTTCGCTGGTTGACAATCTTGTAATCAAGCTGGAAAGGCTAGTGCTGCTCGTATCAGTTTTAACCCTCTCGTTTGTGGTTGATGAAAAAGGTGTCAATATATACAGCGAAGCGAAATGTTCTTTGATGATTAACTATTTTACGTTTATCTGTAATTCATCACTGGAAACTAAAAGAAACATCCATATATTATTTTACATTTTCAAGAATTAGAAATTAATTACGTAAACATATATTATGACTTAATTATGAAAAAATTAAAATAAAATAAATGGCAATAAAGCGCGATAAATTAATTAATTTTATAGTATATTCAAACACTTATGAACAATTTTTATTCGAGTACTTAATATTAATACATAATTATTAATTGCGCTTTTTCATTGATATTCGTATACCAACAATATATCTTATTTGATATATTACGCTGCAACAAATTCGTCATAATGGCTGCCGAGCACCCAACATTATAAATGTATATTCTCGTCATATTTTAAAAACTTATATAATCATTAGAAAAGCCCTTTCTAATGTTTAAAAAAACTTCTGTTTGTGATGGTGGAAAAATGGTGACTCTTTTTTAACATATAATATTGTTTTGTCATCATTTTATTGATGAAATAAATGAAGCAGTGTTTTTTACGTAATAAATTAAATAGACGAATTATGATTGGATTAAATTTAATTTAATTTAAAAATTTAATTAAAATTTGTGTAAGATTGTGTGAAAAATATATATGCTTACACGTTTTAAAACTTAGATCAGAAGACGTATTCGATAGTAATCGGGCGAAATCGAGACTTATCTCATTACTTGTCGGTTGTGGGTTTAATCGATATTGACCGTGGAAATTATGTACGTTCATCAAAATAATGTCCACACTTTTTCTTTTTATTTTCAATTTCAACGGTTTATGATTGTAATCCTTTGTCAGTTTTTTTAAAATTATATTGATTTCTCTATTAATATCTTGGATATCATTGCTCTCATTAGATGTGAATCCACGATTGTACAGTTTTCTTATTTCTTCGATGTTTTTACGAAGTAATGTGTTTAAAAAAATACATTTATTGTCAATCGCGTACAGTTGAGACTGATTAGAGGCAGCATCCTAAAACATTAAGAGAAATTTTAAAAAATCTCTATGCATTCTTTACTAAAAAATTTATATCATTTCTTTAAAATGTTTGTTTCGCACGTTCATTCACATAAGAGTTAAATTTTCATATATTTTGAAATCGCATCAAGTTACTTTGTTTAAATTAATTTACATAAAAATAGTGAAAATTAAAATTTCGATAAGCAAGGTCTTTATATTAAAAAATCGTCTATTTTAAGAATGCACAATGATATATGTGTTTTACCAAAGATTCGAAACCGTATTTCGTTTGGACGTTTTTCTATTATAGCTTTTACTGCTCAATATATTTTTGGAGTTGCCAAGTTTATATTTAATTACTATCATTACATGTTATGTAATACAACGCAGACTTAAAATTAATTTTTTTATTAATATATCCATTATTTAATATTATTAAAAGAGCGTCAAAACTATTTACCTCATCTTGTGCGGGCTGTTTTGTAGAGTATTTATGATGTATTGCAGAGTATTTATCAAATTTAATGATTCTCATCAACTCATACTTCGAGACATTCGGTAAATAAAGAATGTTCTTTAAACGCTGTTCAATATCACCACTGGAGATAAGGTAAGCCGAGAAAAGTTCCTGATATATGCTGTACGGACTAAAAACAAAATCTTCCTGTGACTTGATTGTCGCATATTTATGCAGACTTGTCAGGGCGAACTGGAAAATCGCATCCGATATAGCAGAATCTGGCAAATAGATATGAAGAAAAACCAAGAGAAATTAACGAAAGGGATATGTTAAAAATAAAAATTCTGAATAATTTACAAATGTTAAAATTCATATATATGTTATAGAAATTTACGAAATGTGTAACTAAATAAATGAAAATACAGAGCATACAAGGTCTTCAAATTTTTTGACACTTACTTTTCATGTTTATAAGTAGAAATTTTTAACATTTAAATAATTTAATTCTTAATATGAAGGACGAGAAAATAAAAAGTATATGTACATATAATGATAATCGAAAAAAGAAATAGTTTGGTGGAGTAAATGTATTTTACATATCTAATGTTTACTAACATGTCCATAGCCAAATTTTGCAAAATATATAACAATCTTTTTGAAGAGTATGTTGATTATATTTTCATTTTAAATATATACACACAATTCAAATAAACGCACGTGCTTAGTTAGATTTATTTTTATAATTTTTTATAATTTCTTTGTCGTCTGTATTTATATAAAATATTAAATCATATTACTTGATATAATGTCAAAAATGTAAATTATTTATAATTTTATTAGTATTTGATAGGTGTTTGATACACGCTGCAATTATATTAGACGTATCGAACATTAGATCTCGATATAACTATTATCGATTGTACTATCGATATGGATGTAACGTCCATTTTTGTTCTTCCTTCCTTTGTGTCTTTTCTATTATTACGCATAGCCGTAAGCATTCATTAAAGTACAACATATATGTATTAAGTCATTGCGTTATTCATATACACCTATCCTTTGAGTTATATAGATAAAGGTAAAAGGTGTATTTTCTGCTAACAAGGTTATGGGCCCAGGACGGGTAAATAAGTAAATAATCACATTAGTCGAGAGAAAAGTAAAAATAATCTAACTCTTAGTGGAAGGTTCTCGATCGAGGCAAATAAAACACACATTCAGAATGTCCTCGTTATCACAGATTGTTGATCGCATTGACAAATTAAATGGTGCAAATTATCGGTCATGGAAATTTAACATGAAGATGACCCTGGTACAAAGAGAGTTGTGGCAGCATGTAACCGGCGAAGCCGCCTTGCCGGACGGCCACACGCAAGAAGATGGAGAACGTTTCCGGAATAAAGAAAATAAAGCTTTGGCGACAATTGCTCTCGGTGTCGAACCTGAACATCAAATACATATCCTGGACTGTAACAAGGCATCTGATGCATGGGAGGCATTACAAAGAATTTTTGAACCGAAATCTCGTGCAAGGATTCTACAACTAAAGAAGCAGATGTTGTCTATAAAACTGGAATCGACCGAGACGATGAATTCATATTTGGCAAGACTGAAGACATGTAGTGACAGTCTCAAAGAGGTAGGATATGAATTTAGAGATGATGATTTAGCATACGCTATGTTATCAGGTCTTCCGGATACATATGATGGAATAGTAATGGCGCTTGCAAATTTGGATGACGAAAAATTTAAATCGACCGAAATCAAAGAAATACTTATGAACGAATATGAACGTCGAGCACTGAAGGAAGGAGGACAGCCTGAGGAACCATCAAAAGAGGCATACCATCAAACAACTAGCAAGGAAACTAGTAAAGAAGAAAAAAGAAGGTGCTTTAGATGTAATAAAATAGGGCATTTAGCAAATAGTTGTAATGCAAAATTGTTTAATGCGAAAGGAACTAAAAAGCGTTACGGATCAAATACACATAAAAATAGTAATGTGTTATTATTAGAGTTAAATAATACTCAGCTAGATGATGCATGGTTGATAGATAGTGGAGCAACCCACCACGTATGTAAACATAGAGAATGGTTCGATAAATATAAAACAATAGCTAACGAAATAATTTATTCAGCAGACAGTAAAAATAGTGATACTCTGAAAGCTGTAGGTGTAGGTAATATAAAAATACGAACCTTTGTTGGTAATAAAAAATTCGATTTAACGCTACTAAATGTATATCACGTTCCAAATGTAAGACGTAACTTATTGTCAGTTTCTCAAATAGAAAAAAGATACAAAAGACTATTGATAGATAACGGAAAACTTAAGATTCAAGATAAAGAAAATAATATGATAGTGGGGGAAGCTCTATGCGAAAATGGTTTATATATTGTCAAAGCAAAAGTCATGAATGATATAAATAATGTGACTAAAAGCGAAGCGCATGTTACGTATACTAATAAGTTAACAGATTCTGTTAAGTGGCATCAAAGATTTTGTCATGTGAACATGAAAACTATTCATGAGCTATCAAAAGGAAATTTGGTTAGAGGTCTAGACAACGTAAATATAAATATAAACGATGCGCATTGTAGTAGTTGTAGCATTGCAAAATCAACAAAAGCACCTTGTAAAGAAGTAAGTCATAGACAAACAAAAAATGTATTAGAGCTCATTCATTCAGACTTATGTGGCCCTATGCCAATAAAATCAATTGGTGGAGCAAAATATTTTTTAACATTCACTGATGATTATTCCAGAAAAGCGACAGTATATTGCTTACAAACTAAGGATGAAGTAGTTGAATATATTCGTAAATATGTAGCTAGGGTAGAAAGAGAAACGGATAGAAAAATAAAAAGATTTAGAAGTGATAATGGATTAGAATATTGTAATAAGATTCTTGAACAAATGTTTGATGAAATGGGTATAAAACATGAACGAACAAATGTATATACACCACAAATGAATGGTGTTGCTGAACGATTCAATAGAACGTTATTAGATTTAGTACGAGCGATGCTTATAAATGCTGCATTACCTGAAAGATTTTGGGCCGAGGCCGTGGTAACCGCGTGTTATATTAAAAACAGAGTCATACATTCATTTGTTAATGATATTCCCGAAAGGATTTGGACAGGGAATAAACCAAGCGTGAAACACTTAAAAGTATATGGTTGCTTAGCCTATGCACATATAAATAAACAAGGTAGAAACAAGCTTAGTTCTAGAGGAAAAGAATGTATACTAATTGGCTATTCTAATCAAACAAAAGGATATAGACTGTGGGATCCAATTAAATGTGACGTAATACAAACAAAACATATAGAGTTCATT